GCGCCCCATACGGTAAGACCAGTGGCTATGGTTGTCTGACGTGTACCGAAACTAACAGCAGGCACATCAAGAGAAAAGCAGGTTTGTGACGTCTAGTGATGTCAGTGTTTGCCAGTAAGGATGACGCTAAATGAAATATCGGCGAGAGAGATTTAACAATCCCCACGTCCTCCACGTTTGACGGCAAGGATTGACGACTGTTAACCTCGAGAGCTCAGAACCACTCAGTAAGGTACCGCGAACATGGCACAGGTTTACAAACAACATCAGGAGGGACGTTCACTTTTACTTGAGTCGAACTGGAACACTTTGGCAATGACACATGGCACTTCTCCGTGCCTAAGCTGTCATTACTCTGTATAGACTCGACAACGTTCGGGCCCAAAACACTGACTCAACGATAATTTTAGGAACCACTGCGGCAAGGCTCCTGAATCGGAACGTTAGACTAGAAGTGGCCCGTATTAGTAGCCTTCGCCGCTGCTAAAAACCCTCCACATTGTGAGAAGCACTTCCGAGTGTCTGTAAAGCAGTGTGGGGGGGGACTTAGAGGCAAAATGGGCGAACTACGGTCTCTGTTCCTGCTTTACTCTGAAAATTATAATCTTGACAGAAACTTGGTCACCTTCGGGTATCAGCGACACCAGAGATGGCTTAGACAACAAAGTGTTTGTTCAGGAGAGGTAGGGGACAAAAAGGAGGGAGGCAGAGTGACAAAATCTGTGAGTGACCACTTCAAAGGTGAACGTCGAACTGAACCAAAAATTGCTCCTGGTAATATCCACAGTGACGACTATGCGATATGACCACATCATCACAGTGAGTGATTCTGTTGCCCCAACAGTCAACCCTGGGTAGGACAGCTCAACGTTGGGCTGAAAGTTAGACTAGGACCTACTCCTTGCCAGCCAAAAGGCTGAGCTGCATGAAAAAATTGGTGGCGACACTAGCAAGGAGTCTAGCGGAAAAGCATCCAAACCCGACTACGTTCCAACTGGCCACCATCTACTGGCAGAAGACGTTCAGGTTCAAACTACTATCAGCAGCAGGGATCACGGAACGTCGGTGTTTTGGAGGAATCTCACCCTTATCTTTGCTGTGACAGGGCCAACTACGTGGAGACGAACCGGAGTCTGTCGACAGCATCATGGCACCAGCAGCGGAGCACCTTACTGACCAGCTACCATTTAGAACCAGTGAGGCACTCCTTCGGGAAAGCCGTTTCCGAAAACGGACCATAAGCCACAACAGTAACTAAGAGGCAGATCGCGTGGCTGAAATGAGGTAGTGGGTGCCTCTTGAAAGCCAAGGAGAGAGCATGACATAGGTGAAAGGCTTCCAGAAAACAGTCAGGTTATAGTGCTCCTAGGAATGGATACGAAATCAAAGTGATAAGGAACAGTAGGTCGTCCTAAGGTAACCTTTCCCAGAGGCTAGAGGTAAACCACAATAACTTATAACGGTCCATGGAGGAGAGAAAATCTACTACTTAGAGGGCTTGCGTTATGACAGGTCCGAATAGCTAGAACGTCTCTGGACCGAGGTTCACTGAAACGTTAAGCGTCACTGACACAACCAGACCTTCTGCCACCCGACCGAAACTGCCGAGCGTCAGAACAACGTTCAACGTCACCCGATGTGGAAGGAGTGCGTAGAATATGGGTATCCCATGCTACGGTCCTCAAAAAGCTGCCCGAGCTCCAAGCAAGAAAATTTCTAGGTGATGACATTTGTTCGTCTCTGTTGAAACAGTGAGCCACTGCCTCATGTGGTCTGCACCATAGCCTGTTTCAACACTCCTTAAACAAGCGTATGTTTCCAGGGGAGCGAAAGCGCCCTGTTCTCCCTCCCATCTCCAGCGGAGGGAACAGACAGAAACCGAAACACTACCTACCTGTTACATCTCTATCGACGCTGCCTAAAGTAAAGGGGGACCCAATTGATGACCGTGTCTAGGGATACTTGGGCAAAAAAGGAGCACTAGGCGATGACGAGAATGGTTTCTGAAGGGGAAAGCCATGTGGTTCGAACCTTCTAGCAGCCCGTGCCAACTGGATGGCATGTTGGGACCCCCAGGTCCCCGTTCATATGATTATCCTGGAATTTGCCAGGGCCTTTAACACAACCTCACGCGCTATTTTCTGCACAGAGTATATAGACTGGGTATCGGCGGTTGGGTGTTCTCCTAGAGCGAGGGCTATTTAGACAGAATAGAATTCTGAACGACCGTCGACAAGGTTTGCTTGGCCTGGAGAACATCATTATCCACTTCATCACAAGAAGCTTCGCTGCTGTCCTTTCATTTTGTGAATGGCGTCCAACTAGGTCCCAGATCCCAACTTCTACTTCACGCTGACGACGCTTTGTCACACAATCCCCCAAGCAAGTCATAAAGCCACCTCAGGTTGCCTGCAGGGTGGGTGAATGACAACTGACCTGTGTTCATTTCTGAGGTTTGCGTCGACTCACTGGTTGATTTTAGGCTGGCGTTTATCAGGTTGAAAAACATTGGGAAACTGTGATCGCCGAACAGCTACTTCGTCCCGGTGCGAGGCTCAGCAGTGCGCACCCCCGACATTGCTGGGGATGGAACCCGGAACCCTCAGGTTACACGGCCAACACGTCACCGTTGAACTACTGGGTCGGGATCCTGAGTGAGCGCCAAACCACTTTTCTATGCACTTCTGACTCGCTAAAAGTATCCCACCGTGTCCAAGGTGTGCATCCTTCCCACACAGACACGGTGAATGATGTAGGACTAACAGCGGCTGATAAGCTAGTCGCCTGTTCCAACCATCAGGGTGCATCGAGAGCCGATGCAGCACTAAACTTTATGCACAGAAAACCAGGTGAACTTGCCGCAGAACTCTTCCTAAAGCTGTACAAAACGTATGTACGGCTGCGTTTAGAGATCCACAACGTCACTGTACCGCCATACTTTCAGAGAGATTTGAACTTCCCGGGGAAAGTCCAGAGGGGAGTCACCCACCAAGGGATGAAAACCTGTATGCGTTCACGGTTTTTCTTCCCGTAACTTTGCAGTCACTGAAGGAGTTCCTTGAGAAGATCACTGTTGTTCCCTCCGTTGACAACTTCAAGAGGCTGGATAGCTACTTGGCGGCGCAAGGCTTGTGTTCGTCCAGCTTGGATACGGGCTGGGTCAATACGACCGACTAATTCCGTATTCTACCGCAATCAATCCCATACTGAGTCTTTTCTGCTGACTATGCTATCACCAGTTTGATTCACCCTTGTACGTCTCTGCTGGATGATTCCCCCTATTCACCACGCCCCTACAAATAACGTTGCTATTTCTGCCGCTGTTATTCCTCCCATAGCTTTATCTGCGGCTTCTCCTACCTCTGACTCTACGATTTCAACCTATTTATTGAGGTTCTCCTTAACACAGATCCCTTTCCCGTCTTCCTCAAATCTATTCAGGTTTCTCATTCCGCTTTGTTCCGGTTCTTTTCGACTTTTTACTCCCGCTTCCTCTCCCTTGTCTACACTAAACATCTTTTCATCCTTTCTGCCATCTTTTTACGACCAGTCCCAGCGACTCCCTGGTGAAATGATGTTTGCGGAACCCCGGACCAACCAAAGTTTTCGAAGAAACCACACAACCTTTACAGATTTGAACAACCCCCAGTCACCCACTGGGTATACCAGAAGTACAGCAGGAGAGTGAGTAGGCCAGCTGCACCGCAGTCCACTTAGGACCTGGAACCGCTCCGCGAGACCTCGAAGCTAGCGGGAAAAATCAGTTGGTTTGCACGATCATGTGAGAAGATATTGGAAGACCTAAACCAACTTCAAAACCGGACAGTGAATGCTAGACTAGAATTTGATCGTGAAAACCGAAGCGTTGTGCGTTTAAGATATGATGGAAGCCATGAACATAGGCTCGACGGCATAACGTTTAAAGAGCCAGGGACAGGGAAGGATTTGGGCGTATTATTCCCTCAAGGTGTGATATTTCAGGCCAATTGTAACAAAAGTGCATTTCGTGGGGGTTTGGTGCTAGCGACTCTCAGGTTAACTTTCGGATGGCTCAGTCGTAGATGTTTGCACCAAATATTCGGCGGCCTCTTCCGGGGTCTTTCTCCGCTGTCTGCAGGGGGACGAAAGGGTTTAGAGCGCATCAAGAAGTGGTCAGGCAGACTGACTTGGGGGCGCGGGTCTGAAACGCATGAAGAGAGACTGTCTGTGCTTGTATGTCCTCTGAAATGTAGAAGGCTGATCGAGACTTGATATTGGCTCAAGACAACCTGAACACCCTATGACAACACTCCACCGATTAGTGAATCCTAGTTGCAGCACAAATTTTGGAAAAAACATACAGAAACCAAGCCTCGAACGTGGTAGGTTATATATGAAGCACAATTCCTGTTCCTTTAGACTTGTCAAAGCATGGAGTGCTATTTCTGGAGAAGTAATCAAGGTAACCTCACATGAACCCTTTAAACTCCGCCTTGATACATACTTGACATGTGGGTGGAAGCTTGCCCAGAACTAACCAAACTTTCGCCTTTTAACCGTGGCATTTTACTGTCGTACACAGGTTAGCAGCCTCAGGAACTAGTGACCCACTAATTCTAGATTCAGAAGCCAGCTAAGTGAAAGCTTCTTCTGTCCCGTCAATAAACATTTAAATCACCACTCAAACCTTAGGCTTCAAACTCCGTGTTGTAGAACTGGTGAGCGACGGTTCATTGAGCTATACGCCTATTTGATTGGAGTACATTCTAGGTTTGGAATGGTCACTTGTGTAGTTGATGCAGTTCTGTAGCAGCAGAAATTATGGAACTTTCCTCATACTATTGATAGAATATTACGAAAACTGAAATATGTTTTTATAGATATTTGTTACTACATGGGTTCAGTGCATTTACAAGTTGAATGCATGCTCAGTTGTTTAGTTAAGGTAATGGCTTCAGTTAACGACCTCAAACATTCACTCTACAAACCGCATACTACGAAAGTAGAGTAACTCAGTAATTATGTCAAATGAGGTATGTAAAACATTAGTTTTAATATTTTTTGACGTTATATCACTAAAAGTTAAAAGCCGATAATCTCCGGTTGATAATGATAATATTAACACTTGCGTATTATTTCAAAATAGCTGTAACTATCGTAACTAAAACCTGTATAATACATATATTATACAATTGAGAACATTTTCGTTATGTCATACTTTTTTCGTGTGTATAAGGCTCTGGAGTATCTGCGAATAGCTAAAAGTCCTTGTGAAAGCACATGTGTTTTTAATGAAGCACACATGAAGTTGGAACGGAGCTCGAGTACTGTCCCCTTGCTTATCTATATAGCATTGCATTGGAATATAAAAAGAAAACTAAACAGCAGTATATACAGCACTTCCGCGTCTCTAGGTATTTTGTAGGATTGAAGATTTTTAATACTAGAACTGTAAGCATACACAGTCTGGTATCAAGCACTGAAATAACGTTGGGTTGTATAAGTCTATATTAATAAGTCTATTAGACGGATTTAAAGGTATCTCGACTCTCTTCCAAAATTTCGTGTTGGTATGCAGATCATTTACTCTTCTAAATATTCCAGATGACACTTTCTGGCAAAAGAATGTTATAACATGGCAATGTTTCACGATCCTGCGTTTTGCCCAGCGTTTTCATGGCAATCTGAAACATGACCCCGAGTCTTGCCCGTCGGAAATGTTGGCTGGGTTAACTTTCAAATCGAACTTTAAAAGTTCCAATAAAAGCATTTGTGGGTGCAAAAGATATCATTTATAAATCATTGACTGCTAATCCCGTGGGAAGTATGGATGTCTACCTTTTAAGTAGGATTGATTTGTGTAGGAGTATCATGTCATTTAAAACTGTACTAAGTTGGACATCTAAGTAACCGTAAGGTTATTCATTATTTTGGTACTTGTGTTTCCCCGAGAATGTAAAGCAAAATAAATTTGTCTCAATTTACGTTTCGCTATTTAGTGCTAGTACCTTTATCAAAGTTAGGCAGAAAGAAGATGGATAGTTAGATCTGATAATTTTCAGAAAAGCAGCTCATTCGAATAAATATTTGAATTTCATCTCATCACATCTAATTAGTGAGAAAGTTTCTGTTGCTTTCAGTCTTTCAAGGAGAGCACACAATCTAGCAACGGATGGAAACGAAAGAGTTAAAGAACTAGACTATGTGAACAAAATATTGAAAACGAATAACTATCCGGTAAAATTTATTCACATCATAGCAACCAACACTAAATTAGGCCGTAAAACTACTTCTGAATCATGTGCCCCAACAAAAGTTATCCATTGCAAATCATACACATCAGATGCACTTAGGACAGTGCTCAACAAACGCAATATCAGTCAAAGTGCTATACAGAACATCAAACACAATGCAAAGCACCTTAGTTCAGCTGAAGGACAAGATCCCTCTGGATTCCCAATTTAACTGTATTTACAAAATAAAACACTTAGAATGTGACGCGATATACATAGGAAAAACTCCTCGTAGAATCAAAATAAGAAAAAATGGACATCAAAGACCTTCCACCCTATCCCTTAGAAATCCAGTGGAACTGGAAAATCTTGAAAGCACTTCAGCCATGGTTCTACGTCCCATAATTTCAGGTCACATGATCAATTTTAACAATAACGAAATTATTCAGAAAAGCTTTAGAAATTATAAGTAGCATCTCATAGGCGAATCTCTTCACATAAAGCGGAATCAAAACTGTCTAAATAGGAGCGAGGGAGTAAAACGTAGTTTAACCTGGTCTCAACCCACCCGCACACACTGATATAGCCAGCGTACATACGATATGAAATATCAACACATGTCTACATACAAATCTCAACCTTTAGTTCATAAGCTCTTCATACACAACATAATACAGAAGGGTATCATCTTTATTCTGCAATTATGAAAAGGCACAATTATCTGTGCTGAAGAACAGTGGTCAAGTTATCATTTATATGCTTGGATGTTACAAATTTCGGTTGAATATAACTTTGATAAAGCTAGTAGCACTAAATAGCAAGACGTCAGTTCAAACAGATTTATTTTGTTTGACATTCATTAGGAAATACAAATACCGAGATAATGAATATCATTTATCCAATGCCCAAATTTTTTCAAACCATCAAATCCCAACTTGATGTGGATATCTACTAACATTGAGGTACGTTGGGAAGGAAGCTTACCTCACGATCCAGTTTTCACTTGATGAGTTCCTCTTAGTTCGCACGTGTTCATCTTGCTAATCAGTGAGAAATTGTCCCCGTTTTATTTTCTCCTTATTATTATTTGTCCCTTGGGTTCTTAATGGAACATAGGGCTTCAGTAGCACGTCTCCAATGCGCTCTGTTCTCTGAAATCTTTTGAACCTGGCTCCACGACAGCCTACAAGCTCTCATTTCCTCCTCACACGATCTCCTCCATGTCACCCTCGGACGTCCAGCACGTCGCTTCCCATGAGGATTCCACTCGAGTACCTGGCCTGACTTGTGATGTTCCCAGTCGGCCTTCTCAGTGTATGCTCAATCCATCTCCACTTCCTTCTGAATATTTGTTGAGCGATAGCTTCTTGCTTCGTTGGTTCGTTCCCAGAGTTCTTTCCGGCCATCCGATCTTCAGTAGCGGGCGTAGGCAGTTAGTTGTTGATGAATTTCTGTAGTTTGTTGGAAATCCCTTTCGTAACTCGCCAAGTCTCTGAGCCACACAGAGGCACTGACTTGACGTTGGTGTTGAAAATCCGAATCTTGTCCCACATTCTGAGTGCAGAAGATCTCCACACTGGTCTCAGGTTAATGAGCGCCAGGCTCGCTTTTTTGATTCCTGGCTGCTTTGACGTCCTCGTTTGCGCCGCCTGTAGTTGAAACAGTGCTTCCTAGATAGGTGAAAGAGGCTACTTTCTTTAGGTTTCTCCCGTTCTTGGTGGTTGGAGTTTGTTGTTGTTGGATTTGCTGGTGCGGTATCTTCATCACTTCTGTCTTCTCTATACTCACTTGAAGTCCCGTCTTCGCTTCCTCTTCTGACAACTTGTTAGTTTTCGCCTGTAGATCTTCAAGTTTGTGTGACATCAGACACAAGTCATCGGCTAAATCCAAGTCTTCTAGGTTCTTTTCCGTAGTCCAGCGTATCCCCTTCTTCTCGCTCCCCACTGTTTGTTGTATGATCCAGTCGACCACAATCAAGAATATCATGGGGGATAGTAGGCAACCTTGTTTCACTCCTGTCTTCACTTCAAAAGCATCACTGAACTTCCCATTGTGAATTACTTGGCTGGCACGTGGCATCTTCAAGTAGTTGTTGAATGAGGCTGATAAAGGTGTGAGGTATTCCGTAGCATTGAAGCAGTTCCCAAATTACCTCTCGATCGACGCTGTCAAAGGCCTTCTCAAAGTCGATGAAGTTGAGGTAGAGAGCTGATTGCCATTCTATGCTCTGTTCTATGATGATGCGAAGCGTTGCGCTGCAATTTGGTCGCCACATGATTTGTACTTCCTGAAGCCTGCCTGTTCCGGTCGCAGTTTTGAATCCAGTGCATCCTTTAGTCTCTCCAAGATGATGCGGCTTAAGATTTTGCTTGGGGTGGACAGGAGCGTGATTCCGTACCAGTTCTTGCAAACACTGAGGTCTCCCTTCTTCGGCAGTTTGACAAGGTAACCCTTCTTCCAAGCGATCGCCAGGTACCTTCCCTTCCTTGCAAACCTTCTGCAATAGTGGTGTGAGCATGTCGGCTGTTGTCTCTGAGTCTGTTTTTAGTGCTTCTGGTGGGATTCCATCAGGTCCTGCTGTTTCCCCCATTTCAGTAGCTTTATGGCGCTCAGGACTTCCATTTTCGTTGGGGGATTTATGTTCACTTGTAGTTCAGCGGCTGCAGGTGGTATTTCTGGACGAAGTGCAGGTGGTGGTTGATTCAAGAGCTTCTTGAAGTGGTCGGCCCATCGTTTCCTCTGTTTCTCTTCTTTTGTAAGTAAATTTCCTTCTTCATCTTTTATTGGTTTCGTCTGTGTTGGTCTCTTCCCTGATAGCAACCTGGTTATTTGATACAATGTCGTCAGGTCTCTCTTACCTGCAGCAGCCTGTTCTGCTTCACTTGCCAGTGTTTCGTAGAAGTGTCTTTTGTCTTTGCGTGCACTCTTCTTCACTTCTTTGTTCAGTGTTTTATACATTGTGCTCAGTTCCTCTTGTCGTTGAGCATCCTTGCACTGGTTTATCTTCTGTTTCACCATCCTCCTCTCCCTGCTCTATCAGCTTCCATGTATCCATTGAGATCCATTCCTTGTCTTCTTTCTTCTTCCTTCCTAATACGGCTGTGCAGGTTTCTTTCCACATCTCTTTTAAAGACTTACAGTGTTCTTCCACATAGGTTTCTTCAGGGATGTTCCTCGATATCTCCCATTTTGTCTTGATGGCTGCCATGAAGATTTTCCGAGTGTTGTACTTGGACTGCAATCTATCACCAGCTTCCTTGAAGGCTTTTAACTTGATCTGGAAGGTTCCTTTCACTCGATAGCGAGTGGTCTGAACCTACACCTGCTCCTCTTCTTGACCTTGTGTCAAGTAGACTGTGTCTCCATTTTCTTGAGATTGAGATAAATTCGATTTGATTTTTGGTGTGTCCTGTTGTCTGGTGAAATCCATGTTGCTTTGTGGATATCCTTGTGCTTGAACACTCTAATCACCAACTCGTTGAATGCACAGAATTCTGAAAACAATTCTTCATTCTCATCCATTTCACCTAGCGCTTCTCGACCTATAGTTAGTTCTCTCCCTGTGTTTTACGCTCCCAGTTTGGCATTCATGTCGCCCATTAGAATTTTGATGTCGCCAACTGGGGTCTTGTGCAGTGTTGATTGAAGTTGTCTGTAGAATTCCTCCTTCTTCTCTTCATCTGCATTATTTGTAGGTGCACAGCGTAGCGTTGTATGATTGTGAATTTCCGTTCTTTTGAGTTGAATCTTGCTGTCATGATCCTGGAGGAGATTGGTTCCCACTGCATGAGAGCCTTCGA